AAAGGTACAGATAGATTCATACCTAAAATTATTTAGATTCAAAAATTATAGAGATAGTTTTTTATACTGAAAGAGAAGACAAAGATTTTGTTTCACTATATTTGATTCCAGAAGTTAGAAGTAGAGACTGTAAAAATGTTGATCATGTTGATACTTAATGTATCTATATAAAAATATAAATTGCCCAGCTTGAGATTGTAAATAGCTGAGCAATGTGGATTTCTTCTCTTTTACACACAGTTTCAATATAATTTAAAACTTGAGTGATAATCCACATGGGGTGAGTTGAAGTGTGTGTGTGTGTGTGTGTGTGTGTGTGTGTGTGTGTGTACATACATATTTGCTTGGTTTTGGTTACCATCCTTCATTCTCCTTCAAAATTACATTTACAGGAAATTAATACAGCTATCATTTCACATATGTCTTTTATGTACTCTGCATTAATACCATAGACAACACTATGTATACTATGAACTATGTAGCATATATTACAGGCATAAATTCTTTCTTGCTTTGCAACATTGGTGACTAACATCATATGTAACACACCAAAGAGCAAGGAGAATAACAGGCAATGCTTCCAGTATTCAATGATCTAATTTTCTTCCACAATGGTCCACAGTTTCACCAGGCCATGAAATTTCTTTTTCTAGGTCAATTTACTATGAGTCAATTTTCTATGAGAGTCAATTTAGCATGGATTTTTTAGATTTTGTGTCCTGAAAATCTATAATTGTGTATTTAAAATGCTTAAAAGTTTCACATACATTCAACATTTGAAAGGGGAAACCTAAATTTTTGACCTATGTCAACTCTCAGGAAATCTGTTCAACAACACAAAAGTAAGGCTACGTAATAGTCTTTTTGATTTGTTTTAAATAATTTTTACAATTAAATTTGTAATCAATTTCCTTTGTTCCCAGAAGAAACAAAAGCATAAACATTACAATCACTATAATTCCTGATTATTTCTGTGGAAATAGTTATGAACCTCAAGTAAGTGTGGCTTCTCCTTTGATGACTGTGTTAAGAGAATTATAATGTTTATATTACAGTTGAGAGGAGAAAGCACTTGCAAGTCATTCTGAGACAATATAAATGAACAGGGTCATTTATCCGTCACAGGGGGAAATTAAGAACTTTGATATAAAAAGACCTTGAAGTAGCTGAATGATTTACTTTTCAATAATTGATTTCTACTTATTGTTTCTAAAATATTGCATTAAAATTTGGAGTAGTTTTGCCATGAAGAGAAATAAACTTCACTATAAAAAGAGAAAGTTTTTTTAAGTAGCTTTCCAAGTTAAGATTTTTTTTTGTATCTAGGAACACATGGATAGATGTCACCTTTTATCAATTTGTGAAATTATGTCATTATTTGATGACTCAAAAGAGGTCAGCTAATTTGTATGTTGTTGTCACACTGATGATATATGTAGATAATACTACCTTACAAGCAAAAAAACTTATATATTTTAAGATAGTTAATTGCATTTAAGAGTTGTGGTGTGTTTCAAAAAAAATTTATTCATAGTATTACAAATTGGTAACATTTTGAGAAGGATTTCTCTAAAGTATTGGAACAACCTCTGAATATTTGATAAATTTTAATTTTTAAAACATTTTATGTGTATGGTTATTTGCTCTGCATGCTTCTCTGTCCACTGTGAGTATCTTTTAGCTACAGAGGACAGAAATGTGTCACAGTTGTTAGCTGCTATGCATCATGTGGGTGGTGGAAATGGAACTCAGTTCCTCTGAAAGAGTAGCAAGTGTTCTCAACTGCTACGCCATCTCTGCAGCTCATGATTGATACTTTTAAAAGATAGTTGATTAAAGACTTCCATGAATACACTACTTTGAAAATAGATCATATCTCTTTGTGGACTTGAAAATAACATTATTTATCAAATTTCCATAGCTTATGATTTTGGATATTTCTTTTCCTAAAACTTAGTGAGTAGCGAAGATGTTGGTTGGTGCTAATGTGTTCTTTAATCATGAATCAAACTTTGTCATTTTCTTAAAACTAATTAAATTGGGCAAATTTATTCTATAATTTACAAAAAGTGATGTTTTCGGGTTATTTTAGGAAATGTAACTTTCAAATTCTTTAAAATAATATTATACCCTAAGTACCCAGAGACCCAGTGTCTTCCATTTCACAGAATGGTGGAGTTTTCCATCTCCATGAAGTATCTGGCAAAATAATGCCAGTGTTCAATGCTTCCCAAACTGATGCAGAAAATATTGTGTGATAATTTGTTTGTGTTCAGTAAGTGTTGTTTGACATCTGGTTTCTGCAGTTCTTGGTTTCCAGTATCACATATTAAACACCAGTGCTGTAGGTATACCTATCATATAACACCCGTGTTGCATGTATACCTACCATATTAACATCCATGCTATAGGTATACCTACCATATTAACACCCGTGTTATATGTATACCTACCATATAACACCAGTGATAAAAGCATAGCTTCCATATTAAACACCAATGCTATAGCTATAACTACCATACTAACAGCCGTGCTACAGGTATACCTACCATATTAACACCAGTGCTATAGATATACCTACCATATTAATACCTATGCTATGGGTATACCAACCATATTAAACACCTGTGCTATACCTTTTTCAGGATAGAGCTCTTGCTATTATGCTTTCCAATAAGAGTCAAAACATGATCTGTTTCTTATTATCAGTCACCAGTTCTGAATATTCCTGCTTACTTCTGGTGTTTCCTTGAATATAACAATTTTAATGGTTCTTTTTTTCCCCTCAGCTTATTGTAGCCCTAAAAATGATTAAAGTCCATGTCTTTGGACGCTTAAGGGAACAGAAGGTCACAGGGTAACATAGCCGGAAGCAGAGTGCAAACTGGAGCTCAGGAACCTTGACCCCCACAGCAAAACGTCTTTTTTTTTTTTTTTCGACATTCCCATTTATTATAGCCTTCCTGACACCAAACTGAAGCAAGGGTTGTGACGTTAGTACTTTACCTTTTGAAGCGCATAACGGTTTTAGTGACAGCACTATCCATGGGCTTTCTGACTTCCGTAAGAGCTAAAAGTCATGATACCCAAGCAACTCCCTTCACAACAATAAAATGATTCTCACATCCCCTTTCTTTCAGAACCTACCTGCAGTTTTATTACGGACACCTTAGTTCTGAGCATCTGCGGAAAATGTTGGGCTGACCTATAAACGGGCAATTAGTTAAAGGCAAGGGTTGGCTAATGAAAGGATGCGGAAAGGAAACAGTCTTGAGAAAGAGTGAAGGCCATCCATATCGATTTCGTCTCTCATCTTTGCCTCTTTTTGGTTGCAAGCTCCCATTGTGGGGGATCTCAAACAAAGCAGACCTACATACATTGTGACTGATCCAGCACTGCCGAACTCCTCCATCATCTGCTAATATTGTCCAATTAAAAACTAATCATAAGGTAAAAAACCTACGAATTAAGCTCAATTAACAAAAACTTGTGATTAATTTGTCTTGTTAACTTAAAGCTGGTCGTGTAAAGGCTTGAACAAAAGTGGTTCTTCCTCATTCCTTTTATTTTCTCTTCCTTGAACGAAATACATTTCCTCTTCTTTCTCTTTTTGTAGATATTGGTGGTATTTCAAAAAAAGTTTGTTAAGATTTCCTCTTATTTTCAATTGGAAAAACTCGTCTTCGCAGACTTACAAAGCAGGGACACATTGTGTGACCCCACTTACATGTTTGCCTCTTCATCTTATCCTTATAACAGTAAGATGAACATTACTATTTTCTCGGGTTTGCAACTGAGAAGACTTGTGAAATAAACATTTATGTAAGCCACCAGAAAGTGTCATGCAAGAAGTCACAGCTAATGGGATTTGAACCCTTAGTACTTACACAGTCGCTCACGGAGCTGTGCAGAGAAGTAGGTGTTGGATATGTAAAAACAACATAAAGAAAAATAACAACAAAGTCACTTTTTTTTTCACTTCTAAGTCCTCCACAAGTCTCTTACACGAGTTCTTGAAGGCAGGTAGGTGTTCAGCGCCCTATACTTAGCCTCTCCCACGCCCTCTGCAAGCTCTCCCTTTGAGACTGAGAGCCTTAGAGATTGCTACTGCAGCTGGTGAGTGGGCAGGTGCAGCCACCATCTGCTCAAGGAGTCCAAATGCGCAGAAGAACTTCGCACCCAGGACCAAGCTCAGGCACTACGGATTCCAGAACCTGTGGTGTGTGGGGTGTGTGTGTTAGGTGTGTGTGTGGGGTGTGTGTGAGTGTGTGTGTGTGTGTGTGTGTGTGTGTGTAAGTGTGTGTGTTGGGGGGGGGGATAAGACAGCTAACCCCGCCCCCTCGCGGTGGCGATTGGCCGAACCCTTCTCCAGAGTTCAGCACCTATTTCGGAATAGGGCTGTCTTCCCAGCAAGTTAGCACGTGGATACTTCTAAGAAGGTGAGACCAGCCCCGAGTGCGTGAAAGGGGGCTTCAGAGCTTCCTGCCCGAAGGGTCCTTGAGAAGCCTGTTTGTTTTTCCCGGCGCTTGTCTCCACCCACCCCTCGCTGTCATTGGCCAAATCTGGTGGGTGGGTGTGTTTCCATTGGCCAGGG